AACCGACCCGGCGCCTTCAGGCGAGTCGGCTGGTGCGGTGGGCCCACGCCGCAGACCAGTTGGATCACGTCATTGGCCGTGTGTCTGAGGGACAGGTGTTCCTATTCAGACCCAAGAAACTGGAAACATTGAAAAACAGCAGCCATGACGTTGATGGACAGTGATGGTTACTGTGCCCTACTGTCTAGGCTCAGCCGTCCACAGGCGATGGCACTCCGTCCGACGTGTGGATTTCAGAGACTCCCCAGCATTTAAATGTCCCCAGACTCAGCTCCCACTTCTGCCTTGATGTGCTGTTTAACACATCAAATCACAGCCCTGTTCTGAGCTTCACACTCAAACCCTCTCCTTCCTGAGAAAACAGCACCTCTGGGGCCTTGGAGATATTTCTGGTCCAGCCCGGCCGGCGTGGCTCAATAGTTGAGCATCTACCTATGAACTAGGAGGTCACAGTTCTATTTCCAGGCAGGGCACATGCCTCAGTTGCAGGCTCCATCCCCAGTGGGGGGGTGTGCAGGAGGCAGCCGATCGATGATTCTCTCTCATCATTGATGTTTCTATCTTTCCCTCTCCCTTCCTCTCTGAAATCAATATATATATATATATATATATATGTATATATACACATTTATGTGTGTGTGTATATATATATATATATACACACATACATATTTTTAAGTCCATTTAAAAAAAGATATTTCTGGTCTGTTACAAGAAAATATTTACCAGTGGGCAGGATACGGTCGAGTCATGTGTCTTCACTCACTTCCTAACACCCTCCCTACGAGATGGTCCTCATCGTCTGAACTGGGACCTGACGTGAACGTGGGAGCAGGGCCTCTCCCTGAAGGGCTGTCTCTTTTGTCCGATCCAGGTCTTCGGCAAGCAGAGCCCCTGTCCATGGGCACCTTGGGCTCATTTCGCTTTCCTGCCCCGCTGACCAGAATGTGCCCCGTGCCCTGGGCACACGGGTACAGGGAGAAGCCGGCATTGCTGTCCCCGGGAGCAGGAGTCCCTCGGGTCCAGGTGGCAGGCAAGAAGGACCACCCCGCCCTGCTCTCCCTGGAAGAGAGTGACCTGGAAGAGCAGTTTGTGAAAGGACACGGTCCAGGGGGCCAGGCAACCAACAAAACCAGCAACTGCGTGGTGCTGAAGCACGTGCCCTCGGGCCTGGTCGTCAAGGTAGGGGGAGCGGGCGGGCTTTCTGAGTTCACTAGAGGCTGGCACATCTCGTCCCATGCAGCCCCCTCCCAGCCCCTCTGGAGCCAGGCGCTTGCTGCCCTTGAACTTGGCAGGCAGCAGGGTTCTCGTCAAAGCATGGCTGCCGATGGCCGCAGCACTGCCGTGGGCGCTCCCTCCCTGAGCAGCCAGCAGGCCCCGAGGTCTGCGAGCGTCCTCTGCCCTCCATCTCCTCGGAGGCCAGTGACACCCACCCCTCTGAGCATGAGATCAGACCAGCCATTCCCAGCGCTCAGAAGCCTGCCCGCACGGCTGCCTGTGGAAGTCTCCCTTCCCTATAAAACCAAGCTCCCGCATCCCAGCTGCCAGCACACCTGCCCCTCTAGGAAATGGTGCCTCGGTGCAGGGGGACTGCCCGTCCACTCTGTGTGGCCAGAGGCCCGAGAGGCAGCCGAGCCTTGAGATACAACCAAGAGCAAAGCCGGCCTTGGTACCAGCGACACAGCACGGCTAAGGGCCCCGCGTGCTTCAGCTCTTAGTCCTCACAGGCCCCTCCACCCCTGCTTCCCGGCGGGACCGGTAAGGAACCGGAGGCACAGAGGCTAAGGCCCGCGCCAGGCCCTGCCAGCTCTCCCCGCCCAGAGCACATCGCTGTCTCCACCACTGCTCTTCCCCTGGACGACCTATCATTCAGGAGCCACGGGGAACAGCCTGAAACCTGACATCACTTTTGTTTAACCTGTTTTATATAACTTACTCCAAATTCTCTCAGTGCCCTTCTCTCGCCCTGACATCCCCGAATTCCCATCAGCCAGCTTCGCCGGGCCTGGCCCCCGCGCTCGGGCATCACATGCGAATGCTGTGGCGACTGATGGGAGAGCCCGTTTCCCTCTCGGACAGGAGCTGACCTTTGCACACCAAGTGCTCGTGCCCTGCCCACAGCTAGGCATTTCAGTGTATGTTTTCAAAATTATTTTGGGATTGTGAGTTATTTAAAGGCTACCGTTGCTTCTAAACAAAACCACACTCCCAACTAGAAACAGTCGCTGTGAAAGCCACATCCGACATGGGTGTGGGCCAGGGACACGCCCTGGCTTTGTCACCCCTTCGCTGGGAGTCCTGCCGAGTGTCCTTGCCTCCCGCCCCCGCCCCCTCTGCAGGGACGAGGTCGCCTGTGCTGAGTCCTGGGGTCCCGAGAACCAGCCTGCGGTTCTCGGGTCACAAACCTCCTCTCCCTCCCGCAGTGCCATCAGACGAGGTCCCTCGATCAGAACAGGAAGCTGGCTCGGAAAATCCTGCAAGAGAAAGTGGACATTTTCTACAACGAGGAAAACAGTGTTGCTTACAGAGAAAGACGCGAAGCAGAGAAGAAAAAGCAAGAACGGAAGAAGAGAGCAAAGCAGACCCTGGAGAAGAAGAGGCTGCTGAAGGAGCTCTGGGAGTCGAGTAAGAGCTCCACGGCGGGAACAGCAGGTTCGGAGTGAGGAGCCGCCGGAGGCTTTCGAGGAAGAAGGCGGGGGTCCCTCCCCTGCGTGGCTACAGGGCTTCAAAAGCAGTATTTGAGCCGTTTAAAAAGCGTCAAATTGTTTTACATGGCGGATTAAACTGTGGATAGAGATGCACTTAAAATAAACCTGAGAGAAACGCAGGCGGCCCCTGCTGGAGGACAGTGGCTTCTTGGGGGGGTTGGGGGGGAGGCGGGTCGGGTCGTCGTCGTGAGACGCAGCTCCGAGGGGCTGCAGGTGGCAGGCAGTTCGATTTCGGGACCTGGGCCGTATCAAGAAGGGTGTTGCCTTATGTCTTTACGCTGTACATTTGGGTACCTTCTTATCAAAGGTTAGGGGGGAAAAAGGAGGACTATTTTTTAAAAGTATAACTGTTAAAAAGGTCCATTTCTATGGAGACCTGTGAAATTGAGACAAAGATTAATAACCTGTAGGGTAACCTCATCATCCGCTGGGAGGTCACTGCTCAGTGATACTTAGAGGTCAGCTTAATGTCAGGTTAAGAGAATAAAAACAAGCCCTGGCTGGTTTGGCTCAGTGGATAGAGCGTCGGCCTGCGGACTGAAGGGTCCCAGGTTCGATTCCGGTCAAGGGCATGTACCTTGGTTGTGGGCACATACCCAGTAGGGGGTGTGCAGGAGGCAGCTGATCGATGTTTCTCTCTCATCGATGTTTCTAACTCTCTATCCCTCTCCCTTCCTCTCTGTAAAAAAATCAATAAAATATATTTTTTTTAAAAAAGAATAAAAACAAGACGGCACCCTAGCCAGTTTGGCTCAGTGGACAGAGCGTCGACCTGCGAACTGAAAGATCCCAGGTTTGATTCCGGTCAAGGGCACATGCCCGGGTTGTAGGCTCAATCCTCAGTGGGGGACTTGCAGGAGGCAGCCGATCAATGATTTTCATCATGGATGTTTCTCTCTCTCCCTCTTCCTTCCTCTCTGAAATCAATAAAAATATATTTAAAAACAAGACAGCAAAGACATGCAGGTTAGGAAGGCACTGGCCCCACTAGCTGGTTGTACCACATGACCAAGTGACCTCTCCCATGAGGAAGTAGGCGCATCGTCCCTGTATGTGGATTTACAGGTAGGCCTAGAAGGGATGAGCTTCCAGAAACCCGATTTGCTTGTGAGTTTGTTCGACACCATCACCATCCTTTGCCCTGACCGTTGTTTGGGGCTGTTCAGGCAGGTCCATAGCCTGGCTCGTTGGAACGCTTCACAAGTTCCCGCAGAAAACTAACAGGGGAAAGACCCGTGAGGTGAGCAGGTCCGTCAGATACAGCGCCTCCCTCATTTCTGCAGCCAAAGAAACTGACTCCTAAGGCAGTGACCTCGTCCGGAAGCTCAAGTGTCCTCCACAAGGCTCTCTAGACCCCTGGGTGCAGTGGGCAGGACCCTTCCCCACTGCAACTTCCACCCCAAGGCCGCCAGGTAAGGTACCTGGAACAGCGCACAGGAGCCGGGAAGGGCGGGAGAGCTGCAGACAGGAGCTTCCATTCCCATCTCCTTTCCTGCACCTGTTGGCATCTCCGCAGACACGCTCACTCCCTAGAACCCTCCCTATGGCCAGTCCTGTAAGGGCCGGACTGCCTCGAGCCTGCGAAACTGCCCATACCCCTGGCAAAGTGAGTGCTCACCCCGTGGGGATTCATAGTACAAGCTCCCTCCACCACTCGGATTCTCACACGCCCAGCACCTCCTGGCACTGTCCGGCACCGGAGCAGCATGTGAGTGGCCACAGTGCATGAAAAACAGGTTCCTGTAGCACCCAGGAAATGCTCACAAGATTAGCACCTAAGAACTGAGAAGGTCCTAATTGCAGGGCACGGGGAGGGTGCAGGGCAAAGTGAGGAACTGCTCTCACCGCCTTCTTTCCTGGCACCCCCTGAAGTTCACTGCAATTAAAATGCACCACAACGCAACTTTGCAACTTCGCTGTATCCCTGCCTTGTGACCGCAGCAAACGCTTCCCCAGCCCGTTGTGCTAATCACATCTTCCCATGACGCTTCTGGGTCAGCTGGGAAAATGCCACCTTTGACAGGTCTCTCTCACCTCTCCTTGAGGAGCTGTTTTTAAAATGCCACTTGAGCCTGGCTGGTGTTGCCGTAAGTCACAGTTCGATTCCCTCGCAGGGCACATGCCGGGGGTTGTGAGTTTGATCCCCAGTAGGGGGCGTGCAGAAGGCAGCTGAACCATGATTCTCTCTCATTGATGTTTCTTTCTCTATCCCTTCTCTGAAATCAATAAAAAAAAAAAAATTAAAAAACACATTTTTTAAATGCCACGATTCAAGGAACCCACATCTTGATACCAGTTGTTAATGAAAATAAGCTTTATTACATCAAGTAATAAATACATACAAAGATGCAAACAGTATTAGTCACTTTCTTCCAGATGTTTGGATCCACTGATGGGAAAGGCAGAACTGAAATCTACATACATCCTTAGGGAAAATTTCAGGGGTCCTTGTCAGGCGAGGTTGGAGGTTGAGGTTCGGTAAGTTGCTCTTTCTTCTGTATTTATAACTTGTGCATTTTAAAGATGGACTTCAAAGTACTAATAGTCATGCAAATGCTTAAGCAAAAAAAAAAAAGTTACACTGAGCAGAATTTATAGTGTGTGGCAAACGCGCTGGCTACTAAAGCGCTGCCGCAGGACTCGCTGAAACAAACCCTCAGAGCTGGATCAGCTCAGAAGAGAAACAAAGAACCACGTAACAGAAATGCATCCAGAAGAGAAACACCGGTATCTGGGAGGCCAACTACGGTTTGCGGTGATAGGTAACTGACGTGCATCATGTAAATCAATGCTTAAAAAAACACAGAACGCCCTGGGTAGTTCCTAACTAACATGTAAACCTAATAACTGCGAAAATCTCCATCTCAGCGACGGGAGGTTCGGAGCCTGACGAGCCACGGGAGGGGCACGGGGAGAAGAAACCAAGCTGTTACCATTCTGAAACCAAGTTTCATCGGAATAGGGGGCATGAGCTGTCACTTCTGGGAAGAAGATGGAAAGCCTTCGCGCTGACTCGGAGGCTAGGACCTGGCGTTCCGCTCCGTCTCAGCCAAGCACTCCCGAACCAGCCCTCTCGCGTGGATGATGCCTGGAAGAGAAGAGGCAGGGGCTGGGATCATCCGCCGGACCCGGTCCGGGAGAGGAACCCGGTCCAGGAGAGGAACCCGGTCCGGGAGAGGAATCCAGTCCAAGAGAAGACTTCAAAGGAGGAAGAGGGTCCTTTCACCCCCACGCGCAGAGAACCCTCGCACTGAACTGGGACCC